TGGGTTTGAGAATTGAAATAAATAAATTAATCCGCCATTATTCTTACCTACCATAAATAACAGAATGAGTACAGTAGGGATTAAATATATATTTTTCTTTAATATTGACAAGGCCGGTATGGATGTGCCCCACTTTAAATGCAAACTTCTTTTTTTTCCCGTGGCTTGATTTATAAGCTGTGGAGTTCACACAATAAGAGACACGCACAGTAAGCTCAAAACAGCTTCTTAAGATTGGGAAAGTGCACGACTCAGGTTTAAAGCTCTGGACACGTGATCAAATAGCTCTTCTAGTCTTGAGGGTTTTTTTTTTTTTCAACTGCAGCAAACAGGCCGTTGTCAGTGTTTTCAAATGATTCATTCATAGTGTTTTCTGATCGTCCACCTTTTTGGTTAAGATAAAAACGGTTAAGAATGCAGAAAGGTAGGAAACCATTGCTTCTGATGTCCAAACCAGACAGTCTGTATGTAGCACTGTACCAGCAAAACACTGTTTTCACATGGTGACAAGAAACCTTTAATAAAATGACAAATGCTGTCGTTTTTGATGAGGCACATTTTGGGACAAGAACTGGATATAAAGATTTTTACTACCTTCATATCGCTACAGTTGTTATGAAGCTGGAGCCAGAAGATGTTTAGTGTAGCTTGGCACACTTTAACAACTGGAAACTACTCATTCGTACATGCCTTCCAGTACCCCTTTTAACTAGAGCTGCAACTAATGATTATTCTCCACTGTTGATTGTTTTCATGATTTATCCATCGCTTTTCTTTTTGGTCTATAGAATGTTAGAAAATAGTGAAAATGATGTTCAGTTTTTCTGAAAACTTACAATGACTTTCTCAAATGTCTTGTTTTGTCCAAATGTTGAGATATTTCGTATTCTATCATAGAGGAACAACGAAACTGAAAATTATGAAATCTTAAGAAGCTAAAATCTGAGTTTTTTGACTTTCCCCTCCTAAAACCTTACTTTCCCTGAATAGCTGGTTATGATGAATTCATAGATGACTGAAATAAATTAGTTTACAACTAATCGATTCATTGAATAGTTCTAGCTCTACCAGTCGTACACAAATACTGAAGGATTCATTTTAGCTCCTTTTCAAAAATTTAAACAAAAAATGTAACGTACAAACAACATTTTTTGTTTGTTTGTTTGTTTTGGCATTTTCACCACGATTAGACAGTGGACAGCATTTAGACACACAGAAATGAGGGGAGACAGAGGGATGCATGTAATGCAGCAAAAGTTGAAACAAACTGTGGGGGTAGTGGTTGGCTTGGTTGCCAGGCAACCACTGGAGACAACCAGAAGTGCTGGTAGGCAGATTTTGTTACCTATAGACTGAGACAGGTTAGCTGCCTTTGCACCTTCCAGTCTTTTTGCAATGCTAAGCTAGCTGTCTCTTGAGTCTATCTTCAAAGTACAGTGAGAAAGTGCAGAAAATGTCGACCTGTTCCTTTACTGGATGAATCTCTATCCAGAGAGTGAAGCGTTTTCTCTGTGGATTTTAAAACAGAGTTTCCATTTTCAGTTGTCAGTGTAGATGTCCTGTGGGCCAAACACACATACAGTACACTATATACAATGCACTTTAGTTCAGCCTCTGTCACATTGGAGCATGTCTCAGCCAGAGAGAGATGCACACACACAGAGATAGGGGAGCTCATCATTAAGAGAAAAGGAGGGATGAATGCATGTCTCACTTGTTGTCACTATCAATGTCATACATTCCTCCCTCTCATCTTCCTTTCACTCCATTATTTCTCACAGCTCAGGCCACCGCTGCCCGCAGTGTCCATTCATTATGAAGCATCTCCTCCTCCTCCCATGTTTCTCTCCCGGTCCTTTCCCTTCCCTCACGCATTCCTCCCAGTTCTCATGCCTCTGTGTGAGCAGCATCATTTTATTTATCTCCGTTCTCTTGCAGCCTTCTCCATCCCTCTCCCATCCTCATTTTTCTCTCGCTCTGCTCGCTGTGTGTTCAAAGCACAGAGGCCCCCCAAGAGAGCCAGACAAGAGTGCGCATGGGCTGGAATGGAAAAGAGGGAGAGTAGGGAGGAGAGGGAAAAAAGACGAGAAGAAAACAAGGATGTATATGCTCACCTGGATTTCTGCTTTCAAGACCCTGTACTTCCCCTCCCTCCCTCTCTCTTTCTTTCCTCTGAATACCTTTCCCAGTCATAACAAATGTCACCGCTAAAGCCGTATACTTCACAAAGCAGCGCAGTCGTTCTCCTCCTCCTCGGCTTAATGTTATGAGTTTCATTACAAAATGTCAAAATCTGCCCTTTGCTACATCAGTTCATTGTTCCTCAATAGCACCCACTTCGGCTATTCTGGTAAATGCATTCCTGCAAATCTGCCGGTCAGCAAAGTTTTTTGGGCTCTAAGCGTCGTGGCTGTGGTGGTGTGACGGAGCAGGACCGTGATGATGATTTACAGAGACAACTGAAGCACAGTGCATTTGCATTTGAGTCTTCTGTTCCGAGGATGTGTTGAGGGCAAATTCATTGTACTGTATATGTATTATTTATGATTTCCAGTGATGGGAATGTTTTAGTAGCACAAAGCACACATGCACTATTCCCTGTGATTACTGACTGAGCGTGCAGATGATGTATTTTAGCCACGCTAGAGGGATGGATGTAGAGATAGAAGTTTCAGCTGGTTGTTTGGCAACAGCTATCGGACCGATTACCATTAGGTTATGCGCTGATATTTGTAGTCCTCAGATGATGATTTGTATTCAAAGTGCAAGCTTGTTGCTAAAATTTACATCACATTTATTTATCATGTTTATTCACTGATTTTTAGGGACAATATATTGTTACTGCTTTTTGCATTTAAGTAGAGCACTGTTTTCATTACCATGTTGTGCTACATTTTATGTACAAGTCTTTGCATCAGACTAAGACTTTGAGGTTCTTCTTTACCAGAATTGAGCACATCTACTAGAGGCAAATATAAATAAAAGTGTACCCAAAACATCTCACTTGCTCACCATCTGCAGTTTACACAAGTTCCTCAAACACCTCACATGCAGGCTGCGAGAGACACAAGTCCAGCAAAGTGGCCTCTAATGTCCCCTCTGAGTTACTGCAGCGCACACAACTCAGAAATAAATAAGCTCTCTAATGTACGTTTCACCCAAGTTGAAACCAAATTACTTTATCTACAAGTTTTCTTCTCCACAAGTTTTCTATAAGTAGAATTTTGTAAGAGCAGAGCACACATTTTAAATGTCAGCATCGCAGTCAGTCATGATAATTAATCGTGAAAGGCCAAAATCATGATTTGTGAATAATATTACATTCATTGTGCAGTCTCAAGTTCTGCCTCTGTTTGTGCTTCTGAGTGAAAACTCTCAACAACTATCAGATTTATGACCATAATATTAATAATTATTAATGTTTATTGTTCAAAGGGAATACATTTTATTAACTTTGTTCATCCTGTAACATTCCTGATGGCATCAGCATCATTTCAAAATTATAATCTGTCCGATCATTGGTTCATCCCCAAACTCAAAGCTCGTAAGAGTCCCATCAGCCTCACACACATGCATGCCTCGGCTAAGAAGCAAATTGTACGTTTGTATTTGTAAGTGCTGTCGGTAGATTCTTAATAGTTACCAGGACCCTGTATGTTATTGTGCATTTGTGTTGCATAGAACTGCCTGAGCTGGGTACGTAGCATTAACAAAATTTTGTAAGGCCTCTCTTAAGTAAGTGCTGAGACACAGTAAAAGACAAAACTGCTGTATTTTCAGTGAAAAATAAATAATAAAAAAGATGGTGGCAGCAGGGACTGCAACAATAAACCAAGTTATACAGGAGAGGAACAATGCAGAACGAGAAATATTAAAAAGAAGTGTAGAAGTGTGATGTTGGCCACGGTGCATATTATATCTACATATTTAATATGCCTTTAGGTTGTCGGTTTAGCTTTAGCATAACCACTGATGTTAGAAGAGAGAGGAAAAAAGGGAGAGAAGGGAGAAGGAAAGGAGTTAAGGACAGAAGAGGTAGAAGACCAGGTCATTAATATCATTAATATATATGTGTATATATATATACAAATTATGGCTGAATTCCATTTAGCTGCTTCAGTTTATGCTGCTGTGCATACAAACTAGGACTGAACTTTTTGGGGAGAAGATAAGAACTTACATTTTTTAAGATATAAATTGCTTCAAACATGTATTTCTAACATTTTAAAATGACAGAAGATTGTAATTACCACAGAAATTGTGACTATGTTAGCCTAAATAGTAAAGAAAGTTTATCAAAGTTCAGCGAGGCTGTACACATTCACTGGTGTTCTCCCAGGATTAAGCCAGCGAGTGATGACTTGAGCTGCAGAGTTTATCATCTGTCACTGTTTAAGGTCAGCACAAAAATAAGATTCCAGAAAAAAACTACACAAGACAAATACTAGCTGACAGGGTCACCCCTCAACAGCAGGACAGCCCTGACATTTTGTGTGTGTGCGTGCGTGTGTGTTTATGTGAGGCTGGAGGTATGTCTTACCTCATTGGAACAGTGTGCTGCCATCTGTACTGTCCTCGCCTGCTGACCTTTGTGTTCTTTGTTTTCTCAGTTTGCAAAACTATTTGAGATCCAAAAGACTTTTCAGAGCGTTTCACTTTTTATTTGCCTTTTATGCTGTAGGAAGTCATTTCTGCTGCCTCTGCAATAAGCGGGGGATTTAATTGAAAACCGAACTGTGGTTGAAATATAAACTCCGTGTCCTTCAGCCTGAGGGAGCTGCTGCAGCTGTAAGACAAGCTGTTACACTGTATTTTATCAGACACACTGCACATCACGTTGTTCTTTTATTTGAGCTGCCCTACCCCTCCCACCTTCCACCTCCTGCCTGTACTTCCACCCTCACCTTTTTCTCGTTCTCTCTTCTCTTGTTTCCTAAGCCCTGATCCAACTCTCCGGCCCCCCCTCCCCCAGCCCATCGGCCCTCCAGTCCAGCGGGACCATGATGCTCAGCAGCTCTGTTGAGGTGCCCAGTCCGGGCGGGATGAGTGGCCTCAGTGGGCTGAGCGCGGCGGCCCGGAACGTGGTGCGCTCCTCCAGCATCTCGGGGGCCATGTACAGCCTGGACAAAAGTCCCAGCAGTGGGGGTCCAGACTCCACGTCGCTGGCTGGCAACAAGAAGCGGCGCTCCAGTTTGGGTGCCAAGATGGTGGCCATTGTGGGGTTGTCACAGTGGAGCAAGAGCACACAGCAGCTCAACCAGCAAGGTCAGTTCACAGTCTGAGCTGCTTTCTATTAAATGGAAGCTCTTGAGATGAAGCTACACTGCAAGTTCAAGTGAAATTTCACGTTTTCACTCCCTTTCTCACTTTTATTTCTTCTCGTTAAATGAACCTGCATGCTCCCTTTGTGCCTTTCTCTTTCTTTTCTTACGTTTGTCCATTCTTCTTTGTCTCAGGATCCACATTTTTTTTCTTCCTTGCCTTTCCATTCTTCTATTATTTTGTCTTTTTGCCCTTGGCTTCTCTTTACTTTTGTCTGTTTAGTTATGCTTTCTATAGTTTGTTGAATTAAATATTTTGTTTATGTTTAAAACTCCCAAGTTATCCTCATTTCCAAATGAAAATTACATTTTGAATATATAAAGATGTCTCTTCATATTTACCCTTTCAACTTGGCTTTAACATTGATGCAATGTGCCTTCAAAGCTTTCAAGGATCTCCCTGCATTTGGTAAAATGACGCTAATACTGGTTTTATAGAAAAAGGATTTAAAAACATGTTATTATAATCCACTCTAAAGGTTGCCCTGCCTTGATTAGAATACCTACGATATCTTACTCAACAAGCTTTTACCTTTTGTGGTATTATCCTTGTAATGTGTCCTTTTCAAAGGCTGCAGCACTATTGTGAGCATCGTTGCGTGTTGAACTCTGAAGCGTTTGTGCAGCAAGAATACATGATGCCAGAACGGTGGTGATAGTGGAGCTATGTTCTATTATTTCTCCAGTGGCGTATAATTACAGATCTTGTGCAGCTGCAACAAAGGTGTCTGTCACTTTGCGCCTCAGTGTCGAGCACAAACCTGGTGGGAAATAGAAAAAACATATCACACACTGAGAAGTGGTAAAGGCTGAGAGGCAGGACCAGGAGGGACAGAAGATGCAACTCATTCCAGCGCAGTTGCATTTTTTTCTGCATTCTTTTGTCTGTCAATAGAAAACATGTTGTTCCTCTATCGTCATCCTTCAAGCACATTCTGTTTCCCCTTCCAGTACATTGAACTGTAACCTTCACAGAACAGTGTGTCCATGTCGGCATGTTTCTTTCTGCTTGCCTGCTTGCTTTGTGGTTGTACAGTGAGTCTAACTCTGTGAGAGTGTTCAGTTGTAGTGAAAGATCTGAGGCTTTCTGCTTTGTGTAGGGTGTCATTGGAATATTGTTTTTAATACCTGATCTAATCGTGCAACTGTAGTTTTTTTACTCCCTGAGTTTGAGGTAAACACAATAATGTACAAAAAATGTATAAATAGGTATATATGAAGTAAATGTAACAAGACCAGTCAGGTTAGCTTCTCACTCTTCTCTCTGCCACGACAGCTGATGCTGAAAGACAAGCAAGGAGAAAGAGAGCATTCTGGAAGGCAACAGAGGAGTGTAGATCTGTAGAAGCATAACACTGATGAGTTTACTTTATACAGTTAAGCCCAAAACTTATTCATAACTATTCTAAATTTTGATCAATAGTGTATTACTACGAGTTTTTTTGGCTGGAAATGGCATAAACAAGAGACAAAAGACTAAGATATCATGTTAGAGATGTTATTGATTTGAGGAATTTTAACTTTGTTTTAAAAAAAAAACTTTTTATTGTTCATTCATAGCCTTTAAAATTGTCACCAGTTTTTGAGAAAATGCAACTTCTAAACCATTCTAAATATTCCTGGTAATTTCTACTGTGTTCTGCAGAATTGTAATGCACTATAACTGAGAACAGCTAAAGACTCTGCTATAAAGACTTGGCACTCTCTTCTAATTAGCCTTCGTGGGCTTTAGGTGTAAGGTATGACTGAGGCTTGTAGTTCTGGATCCAGGGGATGTTTTTTTTTTTCCTCTCTCTCTTTCTTTTCTCTCTCTTTCCTTTTTTTTCTCTTTTTGTTCTGTTCTGTTCTAAGGTTATTACTTCTGTTATTCTAACTGTGTATCTCTATAAGTTCTATACAGGCATGTAAACTCCCATATACTGTACTTTATTATTGTAATGTACATAGATTTTTCCTATGTAGAATAAAAGAAAAATTTGATCACAAAACTGAGAACAGCTGACACAGTAGTTCCCTAGTCAGTCACTAGTCAAGTCGTGGCTAAAACCAAAGAGCTTAGTGAGTTTGCTATTATGGTCCATAACTGAGACAGAGTTGCGCTGTGTGGCCTCCCACAAGAGGAGGGAAGGCTATAAAGCCATATCAAGGTAATTTCAAGTGCCAGTCACACTTGAATTACACACAGTGACAAAATTTCAAGGGTAAGAAGCCAAAAGTGACACCTGCACTGGCAAGAATTTTAGAAGCCAAGAAGAATCCAAAGATCACTATCAAGACAAATTAATCTGGAGCACTGGAGCCAACCATCTCTAAGCAGACACTCCAGCAGACCCTGAATAAGGTTGGATGCCCACCAACCACATATCCAAGGCAGGAACACAATCTCACGTGGACAAAAGCTTTTAGTCATCTGTTCTGTGGTCGGATGACATGAAAATGGAGTTGTTTGGACACAAGGACAAGGCTTTGGTTTGGTAAAAGAAATGAGATGCATTCGACCCCAAGAACACCCAAGAAAGTAATGCTTCAGGGGTGTTTTTCAGGCCGCCTTATCAAAGGAACCGGCATCATGAGAAAAAAGGACTACAATAAGATTCTGGAGGAAACCATTAAGCAGTCTGGGCATCATTGAAGCTTCTAACAAAACAGCGACCCCCAAAAACACTATCAAAGTGGTAAAGAAATGGTTCGCAACAACATATTATCATCATTTTGAGATGGCTCAGCCAAGATCAAGACCTGAATTTGATGAAAAATCTATGGAGGGAAAACCAGAGTGATGGAGAGGAAACCTTCCAACTTCAAAGACCTGGAGACTGTCACGAAAGAGGACTGGTCCAAAATCCCAGTGGAGATGTGCAACAAACTTGTTAGCAATAAGTCTTTGTCACTTGTTTATGTCATTTTCAGCGAAAAGAAGCTTATTGGTAAAAAAAAAAAAAAACAATTCACTGTAAATTAAAATGGCATGGGTATGAATAATTTAAGGATGTCCGGTACTTGTTAGGATGCCATTTCTGACACATTCAGCATATGGTTAATGGGCAGCATACACAGGAACACACAATCATTCCCCTGAATCCTGTATTCTTCTGTATCACACACACACACACACACACACACACACACACACACACACACACACACAAAGAGCTCGCTGCACTCAGGCACAGCTGACACTTGTCTGACGCAGAGAGAGCTGTCGATATTTTCACCACAGGGGCTTTCGTGTCTCTGTGTTTGTGGTGATGAGGAGAGCACAATGGAGGGGAAAGTGTGGATGAGGAGGCTAGGAGGGGCTGAGGATGTAGAGAAAAGGAAGGGGAGATGAGGGGTGTGTCTAAATTTAGATGTTCTCAGCTGCCAGAAGAACACATCGCGCCTGGAACAAAATCACACTATCATGCACCGCTCCCTCTTCTTCCATCTATAACACGTCTCTCTAACTACTGATAGAGCGACAGTAGTTTCCTCCCTGTGCTGGCAACAGGCATTGACACGAATTTCCAAGTCTTGTAGTCATATGAATTTGTATTGCTCCAAAATAAAAAAAAGGAGAGTAGTTTAGAAAATTACCACTGATTACCTAAATTTTCACAGCTGAAGTGCGACACTTTGTAATGTTAGTTTAGCAGGGCAGGTGGGTGACACACAGGTAAATGGGCTAGACTTGCTTACAGACGCATGCAGGAGGACATCTTTTGACTCGGCTGCCCTCTGGACACAGAGGCCAGTGACAGCAGCGTCAGTGGGATATAGATTTTAAATTTGGGATGAACAGAGCACTGACGTTGGATTTCTGCTGCATTACTGGAAGATCGCCTGAATATTGGAAACAGTCGGATCAGTGCATCCTTTAGTAAATAACCTGCGGTAGGCTCTTACAGTCAAGGTTCCAATTGATTTAGTTTTAAATTGAATCACGCTCCAGGTCACCCAAGATTATGTCACCGCGCTCCTAGGAATTGGTCTATTTTGCACAAATCCGCTCGCTGGAGACTGAAAACCTGTTGCTGGAGAAAAACAAGGTTGTTTACTCAATGACCCAGTGAGACTGAAATGGGCTCCCCTAATCTATTCCCACCTCTTAATTAACATCAGCTGGATGGCAAAATCAGATGCATATAATTAGATATGTGACCCACACTGAATGAGAGACCTGCAGACAAACAGAGCGACATGCGAACATTCCTTCCTGCTCGGTCTGGTTCAATTAGGGTTCTTTCTGTTCCCTCTTGGCAGCCATTAAGGGCCTGGTCTCATCAGCTGTCGATGCTCCGTGTTCCGAGTGACACATGCATCGCTTGGCCAGTGGAGCGGTCGGCCTCCTGCCCTGCTCAGTTGGTCAACTAATAATCAATAAGCCTCAAGATGATTTGGTCCAGAGAGAAGAGGGAATATCAGATGAAGTTAACTTGAACTCTGGCTGCAGGAATGAGAAAAAAATTGAAATAATTCTTTATGACAACTGACAAACTGATCATATATTCATTTACTGATTGATACTTGATTATTTTTGACTGACTTGCTGTTTCATGTTGTGGTGGATGTAATACTGGAAGGAGAAATGCATTTCTAATACATTCATTATTATTGTTTTTCCGACTTTACATCAGGTAATAAGCAGCCTTGTGTGTTTCTGTTGGGGGACTTTGCTACTCCAAATAATATAATTTATAGGCAAGGAATAATTGTAATGAATCAGGGATTGCAGTGAGGGTGATTTTGCACAAAGGGAACTGATGCCGACGCAAAGATGTAGAAAAGATAAAGCAAACAGAGACAGTGGGGAATATGTCAGCGTCTCACCATTAAAGCGCTATTAGGATGTAATGTAGTTATAGTGTTGTTATTGTGTCAGAGTTTCTGCAGGGTATGTTCTAGCGGCGCCCGTTTTTGTGAATTAGATCCAGTCAATTTACAACTATCAACTCTCAGTAAGGG